GTCCTAAAAATGTTCTTTACAGCTCTGATTTAAAAGTCCAGGATCACTCACTGCATTTGGTTGCATGTCTCTTTAGTCTCCGTTAATTTAGATGAGTGCCCTTACCAATTTGTATCTTTCATGACATTAACATTTGTCTTGGAGAATTTCCCACAATCTGGATTTGTCTGATTTTTTTTTAGTAATTATTTTCAGGTTAAGCATTTTGGCACCAATACTACATAGAGAACTTTTGTCCTTCTTTGTGTATCACATCACAAGGCACATAATGTCCTTTCGTCCCATGGTCAGAAATGCTAAGTTTGGTCACTTGGTCTGCCAGATCCTCTCATTATGGAAGTTCCTTTTCTCTCTTGTGATTAATGACTAATCTAGGGGGTGAAACTCAGAAGATGTGCCTCTCCTCTTCCCCAGCCACCTTTCACCCAGTGGTTTTATCAGCCATTGACAATCCTTGCCTGGATCAGTTCTGACATATGGGGGTTGCAAAATGATTATTTTAAAAATTGTTATTCCTTTATATTAGGACTTTTCCTTCCCCCCTGCTTTTCTTTTGTGTATCACCGTAGTAGGCTTGTGCATTCTTTTCATTCAATGTGTTATAATCCATTACTGACATTATTCATATTTTTTCTCTAGCTTTTTATTTTGAAAATTTTACACTGAAATTGAAAGAATAGTATAAAGGACACTCACATGTCTTCACCCAGATTCACCAGTTGTTAACATTTGCCGCATTTGCTTTGATTCTGACTCTGTCTATCCATCCATCTTACTCTCTGAACTACTTAAAGCAAGTTTCAGACATCATAGTACTTTACCCCTAAGCACTTGAGCACATATTTCCTAAGAACAAAGACATTTTCCTATATAACCTCAATAACATAATTATGCTCAAGAAATGTAACATGGACACAAAAATATTAGCTAGAGCTTATATTCAAGTTTTCTCTGATAGTCCAGTGATGTCCTTTATAATGTTTTCCTCTTGAACCAGGATCCAATCAAGGTTCACACATCAGTTTTTATAGCCTCCGTTAGGTTAGAGAATCCCTTATCTTTTATTTATTTCTTTATTTACTTACTTACTTACTTACTTACTTATCTTTTAGGGTATTGGCATCTTTTAACAGTCCACAGTCCAGGCCAGATTAGTTTATAGAATGTGCCACAACTTGGACTTGTCTGGTTGTTTCTTATGATTAGATACAAGTTAAACATTTTGGGTCAGGACTGCTACGTAGGTGGGAGGCCATAATGTCTGTCTGTCCTGTTATTGGTGAGCTTGAGTTTGATCACCTGGTTAAGGTGGTGTCTACCAGCTTTCTTTACAATAAAAATGCCTGTTCCCCTTTGTAATTAATAAGTCATCTTTGAGACTCTCTGATTCCCTTCTTACCCAACAGTCTTTCACCCAGTGAAAGATTTAGCAGCCATTGAAGATCTTTGTCTGAATTAGCTATTACATTCATGATTGCAAAATTAGGAGATTTTCTAATTCTGTCACTCCTACATTTATAGCTAGCATTTTTCTGCAGAGTTTTCTTTATTCCTTCCTTCCTCCCTCTCTTTTTCAAAATAAGAATATCAGCGAAGGGTATAGCTCAGTGGTAGAGTGCATGCTTAGCATGCTCGAGGTCCTGGGTTCAGTCCCCAGTACCACCATATAAATAAGTAAATAAACAAATAAGCCTAATTACCTCCCTCTAAAAAAATAATAATAAAATTAATTAATTTAAAAAAAATATGGCTTTACCAATATTACTTAATATTTATACGTGACTCCTTTACTAGATAGTTACACCATTTATTGAAGAAAAAAATAAAAATAAAAACAAGAGTATCACTTTGGATTCACGGATTATTTTTTAAACACAGTATGTTATATTACTGTCATTATTTTTGATGCTCTTAATTGTCCCAAATTTGGCTGGTGATCGCCCCTTTAAACTGGTGTCCTTTTGACATTCTCCGATTAGTTGAATTCCTGCTTGTTTCTGGCACCACAAGATGTTCTAGGCTAATGTTCTGTTTCCTTGGCCTGGCTTGGGACCAGCCATATGTTTTTGTAAAGTCATGAGTTCATACTGATGCCTCCAATTGAAATCCAACATCACGGGACGCTTTCTTACCTTCCCATATTCCACATTCTATCTAACACTGAGAACCAGGTTCCAACAACATACACTCATTCTCTCGCCCATTGTCTGCTACAGTACACATGACAGAGTTTCAGAATCACCACACTAGTACCAGTAGTACCAGTAGACCTGTAAGATTTCAGATTTCTTTCCAGTTGTTTTTGTTCTTGTGATACATCCCCCTGAGAGAACACAGATACTGAGGTCAAGTTACTTGGCCAGTTCTTTTTCCTGTGTGATTGTGTTATCAGTTTGCTGCATGGATAAGCTTCATTTGTTTTTGTTTATTGCATTTTTAGACTTTCATTTCTTCCTGGTGTAAGTTTCTGCATATGTAAGACATTGTGTGTGAAAAGTATGTAAAAATCTTCCCCCAGAGATGCCTCACTACTCATCCTAGCCCTCCTGTCATGTGACCATTTCATTAGTTTCTTTTTGACTCTTCCTGTATTTCCTTTGCAAAAACAAGCTAACTTAGATACCTGTTCTTATTTCTCCTTTTTTACATAAAGGTATAAAAATAGTATGCTGTTTATACTTGTTTGTACTTTGCTTTTAGTATACACTGGAAATCATTCCATGGCGGTTCATAGACATCATCTTCATTCTTTTTTACAACTGTACAGTAGTCCATTGAATGATGTATCATAGTTTATTCAAACAGTTGCTCTTAGGTTGTTTCCAACATTTGCTATTGCAAAATAGTGTCATGTTGAATAACATGTATCCGTTGCTTCTTATTTGTGAGTAAATAACCAGTAAATAACCGAGTAGGATTCTGAGGGCAAAAGAAAAAAAATTTTTTATTCTCCTCTCCCCTCCTTTTTTTCAATATATTTGTTATTATTTTATTTTGTTTTATTATTTTATTTTTTGGGGGAAAGCAGTTGGGTTTTTATTTATTTACTTATGTTTAATGGAGGTACTTTGGATCGAACCTAGGACCTTGTGCTTGCTAGGCACTTGCTCTGCCACTGAGCTATATCCTCCCCTCCTTTTTTTTCAACATGAAAGATAACATACTATATAAACTATTCTACGTGTTGCCTTTTTCCCTCAATGCTTCGATTAATGCACCTGTGTGAAAGAATCATTTCATGCATGTCTCTGTCATCCCTGTCTTTAACGTCTGTGGTAGATGTTGTTATGTTTTTATATCTGTATTTGATTTCATATCACAAAGGGACCACAAAAGGTTATAATTGCCCACACTTAATTGGATCCAGAGGAATTTAACTGGAACCCTAGGAGGGTTTATTTTTCTTGTAAAGCAAACTTTCAATTGAATTATACATAGGAAAGTGCATAAATTGTAATTATGTGCTTGAGGAATTTTCACAAAGTCAACACCTCTATGTAGCCAGCACCCAGATCCAGTAACAGACCATTACCAGCACCCCAGATGCTTGTGCTCCCTTAAGGGTAATACTATCCTGACTTGAGCACCCTAGATTTGTTTTGCCTGATTTAAACTTTATAGATATCTCTGCCCAGCTTTTAGGTGTTGTGTTGCCTTAATGCTTGGTCATAGATCATTTTCTGTTTTTTATCATAGCTATAGCTATGTATCTATATACCAAAGTTACTGTTCTAGCAAAATGATCTCATTCGCTTTCTTAGCCTTAACTTGCCAGCAATTACCTGATGCATGTCTCAGCACAAACCTTCTGCTGAATCCTCGACCCAGATTTTTCCCAGTGCCTACAAGGCAGCCCTGTCTGGGGGTCTCACCACACCTCAGGCTCGTATGTCCGTAATGCAGCTTTTTTTCTTCCCTGGGGCCCTACACCTCTTCTCGTGGGTGCTCCCCATGATGGGGCTCTCAGTAAGCAGCCCCACCATCCACTCAGTGGTTTAAGCTGGCAGAGAGTCTTCATGATGCCTCCTTCCCCCCACACCCCAGATCCACCTTGGGACCCCTTCCAGCCTGCCTCCTCAGTGCCTCAGGGATCACACCCTGCCTGCCTCACCTCTCCAGCCTCCCCTGCTTCTTTCCTATGCACTCTCTGCTTTGGCCATGGTGGCTTTCTTTCCCTTGCTTAGAAGTGAAGCTCCTTCCTGCATGAGGATCTGTGCATGCTTTCCCCTCTGCCCAGAAGGCTGCCCTGCCTCAGGCGGCTCCCCTGTGTTCTTCAGGACTCCTTTATGGCTTACATTTAATTTCCATGACTCCTCAGACCTGGTTAGGTCACCTATCTGCTGTGCATTGTTTTTTTTTTGTTTTTTGTTTTTTTAATGGAACTACTAGGGATTGAACCCAGGACCTCATGTATGCTAAGCATGCACTCTACCACTGGGCTACACCTCCCCACCATGTGCATGTTCTCATAGCCATCCTTCCCTTTTATATTATTCACTGCAGAGGTTATTGACTGCTTCATGCCACGGGCAGGGACCACCTGTCTTATTCATGCTTTCTCCCCAATGCCTGGCAGATGATACATGCTCAAGACATGAACAAATGACCGAAGGCAAAGGCAGGAGGAAGGGAGCCCAGCCTGTGACTGAGGCCAGGGCTCTGCTGTGTTCAGGGTCAAGAATAGAATTTCTTCTTTCAGGGGTCCCCTCAGGCCTTCTCTGTCACTTGACTTGCCCTGCCTGGAGTACCTCCCAGTTTTCTTTCCCACCCTCTGAAGATAGGTTTTTTTGCCTGGAGGCAAAGGGCGGGAGTCCCTGGAAGGATGTAGCTGGTGAAATGGTGGCTCTGTGAGATGGGAGCTGCTTCCTTTGGGTTCATTCCACTGTGGGAATGTGAAACAGGCCCTGCCCCAAGGAGTTTCCAGCCTGCTGGGGCTGAGGAAGGGACTGGGCTGCGTCGGCCATGATCCTTATTCTTCTCTGGCTTTTCTTTCCTTCCAGTTTAGGACAAAGAGGCTTGGACAGGCCACTGGGCCGGCTGGCGCCATCATGGCGGGTAAGGAGAGGGTGGGCCACGTGAGTAGGATACGACAGTGAGCATCGGGTGGTTGGCCCTCTTCTTGGTCCCTTTATGCTCCCTAATTTCTGCAGGTCAGATTCTTTCTGTTCTCTTGTCCCCAGGTTTTCTCTGACCTTGGGGACCAGAGGTGGCACATCCTGATGCCCTGGTCCTACTGTCCATCTGACTGATGAGTGGCATGTGTGGCCAAGTCCCTGGCCCCTCTGTCACCATTACTCCTTAATTTTCTAAGACCTTGTCATTCTGGTTTCTGAGTTGTCTGGTTTCCAAAGGCCCAGAGCTGGAGGGACCTTTAGGGATTATCTGGTTCAAGCCCCACCCCACTGGGTAAACTGAGGTCTGGAGAGGGGTGGTGACTCGCCCAGGAGAATGAACGTTGGAGTGGAGGCTGGAACCCACGTCTCCAGACTCACCCATCCTGCTTCCTCTGCCCAGAACTGGCCCCCACCGCACTGAAGAGGGTACTGCACCCCTGAAGGATAGCATTTATTGTTTTTATTCTTTTCAGAGACAGTGATACTGCCTCTGGGCCTTTGGTTACTTTGGGAGACCCAAGGAGGCGGGGATGGCTGGGTGGGGATAGCAAAGTGTCCTGTGGCCACAGGGGCCAAGAGGGCAGCCCAGACCAGGGAAAGAATCATTATACTGGATCGCTGGGGAGGGAACACTCAAGGTGATACCATGTGATGTGCCTTGCCCACAGAGAAAGTGAACAACTTCCCACCGTTACCCAAATTCATCCCACTCAAGCCATGTTTCTACCAAGACTTCGAGGCGGATATCCCTCCCCAGCATCTCAGCATGACCAAGCGCCTCTACTACCTCTGGATGCGTGAGTGCTGTGGGTTGGGGTGGGCTGTGAGGGGGAGGAGGAGGAGGGAAGGCTGGCGGGGATGGACATCGTGGGGGAGGGGTGCCTGCAGGCCCAGTGTCTCCAGCTCCACTTGCAGCATCTGCGTGGAGCAGTAAGCCTTTCCCTGCCTGACTCCTGCAGGCTCCTCTCCTGGGCCGACTCCCCAGCTGGGCCTCAGTTTCCCTCAGCTCCCCAGCTCTCCCTATCTCCCATTCACAGAGCATCCAGGTGGGGGTCTCTGTCTGTGGTGTTAATCCCTCTCTTTTTCCTCTCCTCCTTCCCACTGGAGTAGTTTTCCAAGGAACCTCTGGTGACTGCCTTAGGATTCTGAATTTGGAGAGGAATCCTTCCCTTAAAACGTCATTTTTCTTGCTTTCTTTGGAAAATTGCTCAAAAAGAAGCACATTCAGCTCGGAGTTAGGACATATGGGAGCAAGCTGGACTGGCTGGTCCTCCACTTCCCAAGCAGCAGGATCCTTATTTGTAGAAAAGAGGGTATTGGCTCAGTGATTGCTGTGGTTCCTGTAGCTCAGTGTTTAAAGTCCAGAGTTCCAATGTTCTAAGATTTTGAGGTCAAGAGTTTAAAGGCCCTCGTTTCTAATTGTCTGTGGCAGGTTGGTGGGAAAGGTGTCATGCTAGGGCGTTGGGGCTTGGCTGTGCCCAGCCCTGGTCAAAGGTACCTTTTAGGCATGTGCAAGGAGGCAAGCTGGCTGTCCTGTGCTGGGAAATAGCCCCTAGAAATGCCAGACACCTGCAGGGTGACCACAGCTAGGGTCTGCCACGTGTGATGTTGCCTTGAGTCAGGCCTGCGCTTACCTGGGGAGATGAGTGATTGTGCCAGAAAGGTGATGAAGAATGTTGTTTTTGTGGTAGGTCCTTCATAAAATGGTAGAAAGAATATAGGGGCAGACTCATTGGCAAGTCCCAGCTTGGCTTTTGGGTGGAGAAGGAATCTTTCCCCATGTAACATGAGTGAAGGAAGGGATGGGGCAGGTGTAGGTAGGTCTGTAGATATTGGGAATAGAGTGAGGAGGTTGCTTCTAAAGGCTCCCATTTTTTCCCCATCAAATAGGATGGACAGTGGGAATAGGAGCTTTGAGGAGAGTGGGATTAGAATGAGGGCACATTTGTGGACAGAGGGTGAGGACACTATCCAAAGAAATATGATCCCTAAGATTTCTGGGTCATGCACAGGGTCCATCTGAGGTTGGCTGCCATGAGTTTACAGTCCTACCAAGCTTCTCTTTGGGGCTAGTTTTTCCCTAGCGACATTCAGCACAGGTAGGTGGGAATTGTGTTCATCCAGAGTGAGTGTGACCAGAAGACAAGGCAGGGGAGGGAATAAGAAAATGAATGAGATAAATTATGATTCTAAGCTGGACAAAGAGAGAAGTGGAGATAGAAAAAAAGCTGATGGCTAGAGAGAGAGTGGCCAAGTCAATGTATATTTGCTCGGAAGAGTAGAGTTATTACAGCCGGAGCAGTAGATCAAGTGTGTGGGAGAGAGGTGGGACTGAGAAGAGAGATATAAACCAATCTAAGAACAGGTTAATGTCTATTCTATGTATAGAGCAAATAAAATCAGGGAGAACACCAAGATTCTAGAAAATTGAGGGGCAATAAACAGAGATGGTGGAATACGGCTGAAACACGCAGGAAGAAATGCTCACCCTTGTTTTGAGGAGCCCTGAGTTGGGTGTACCCACGCAGGTGACTGCATTGTGGGGCCAGACTTGGGGAGTACTTCACCTGACCCTGGGCTCTGGGAACTCTGCCCCTGAGAAGATCTCATCCAGGAGCTGGATTTAAGGGCTATAAATAGCTTCCTAAGTCCTCACTAGGTGCCTGTCAGAAGCTTTGCTCCCAAGGAAATGTATATAACCCTTGAGATGCTTGAGGGTTCTATTCAGAAGCCAAGACCAGAGATGCCTGGCTGTTTGAGGCCAAGATTAAGCCCGCCTTCCTTTGTTTATTCAGCAAGTCTTTGTGGGGCCTTAAAGGGACTGAGTCTAATGTTGGAGGAAGGGAGCAGCCTTAAGTCAGATACACTGGGTGTGTGTTAGTGCCAGCATCAGGTGAGGAGACTTGTGGCTCCTGCTGGCTGTGACTCAGTGATACTGTGAGTCCAAGGTTCAGCTAGCTTATGTGGGCACAGAGGAGGGGGAGCCTAGGTCTCACTCTTGGGGAGCTTCTAGTTTGGTGATGGGCTGGGATTTGTACTTGGGGAACCACGGGAGCAGCCCAAGTCTGCAGGAGGTCAGTAAGGAGGTCTGTGGGAGATGAATAAGGCTGCAGTAGTGAAAAAAGGCTTCTTGGAAGAGGTGGCATGATAGTTGTCCAAGAAATTGAACAAAGACTGAGATCCCAGCCCCTGCTGCCTGCCCCATTTAAATGTGGGGCAGATGGTACAATAGCTTGAAGAGATGTTTCCTCAAGGCCTTTACTTTCCTCTTTTCATGCCCTACTTTGCAAGAGAAGATGGAAGATGGTCTTCCTGTGCCCTGGGCATGGTGATTGCTGTGGGTCTGGGAGGGCAGGGGCTGAGGCTGCATTTCTGCCACACCGAGGCTTTGGGGCCCTTCAGCAGGGCTTGCCGGGCTGAGGCTCTGGGTTCCTGCTCTGGAGACTCTGTTCTCCAGATTTCTCAAATCCCTAGGAGCGGGTGTAGGGAGGGGTTGGTCTGACAGGCCTCCAGTTTTCTTTCTTACAGTCTTATTTCCTCTGTGTGTGTATGTGTATGTCTGTCTCATGTATCTGTGTGTGTGTATTCATTGACGTGGACTGCGGGTGTGAATCTGCATAAATGTGGTTTGCATGTGTGTCTGTGTGTGTCTGCATCTCTCTGTGCTTGTGCTGTTTGCGTGTGTTTGATTGCGGGTCTTTGAGTTGTGTGTGTGTGCCCTGTCCGTGTGCTCGTGTATTTCTGCATGGGCCTGGGCATCTGTGTGCGTGTCTGGTGTCTGTGTGTGTGTGCATGGGCTCCTGGGTCTGCAGTGAATAGCGTCACGCTGGCCGTGAACCTGGTGGGCTGTCTCGCGTGGCTGATCGGAGGTGGGGGAGCCACCAACTTTGGCCTCGCCTTTCTCTGGCTCATCCTCTTCACACCCTGCTCCTACGTCTGCTGGTTTCGGCCCATTTACAAGGCCTTCAAGTAAGTGATTGGCGCTGAACCCCAGCTCCTAATCCTATCTCTTTGCCTATCTCCTGCTTCTTCTCTACATAATGTCTCACTTTTTGGCGGGGGCCATTCTGCCAAACTCACTTTCCCTTTGTTTACCCTCAGCTAGACTGCAAGATAGGATTTAGGCTTCGTGGCAGCCCTAGGCTGGAGTAGGAGGGCTGTGAGTCAGAGCCTTCCTCTTAGTTCCTTCCTTCTTCACTCTGCCTTTGGGTGGGGGCAACATAGAGACCAGGCCTATTTTTGTTTTGCCTTCCCCAGGCAGCTGGCTGCATGATAAATTTTGCCAGTGGGGCCAGTTGTCTTGCTGGAGCTGCCCATCCTTGTACCCATGGGGCTAGCTGATTTGGTGCCAAGTGGACCATCTATCCATGTGCCAGTGGAACAAGCTATCCATATGCTCACTGACACTATTTATGTGCTAATGATGCCATCCATTTCTGTGCCAAAGGGACTACCCATCCATGTGTAAGTAGGGCTAGCTGTCCTGGTGCCACTGGGTGTCTACCTTGTGTCATATGGGATTTTCGGTCTTTGTGCCAGTGGGCAAAAAGGCTTTCAGTCTAGTTGTCAACAAAGTATCCTCCTCAGTGCCATTGGGCCTCAAATATCTTTGCCAATTGGACCCATCCATCTATGTGCCAATAGGGTGTCTGTTCTTGTGCCAATGGTACTTTCCATCTCTGAGCTTATGGGTCCATCCATCCATGTAGTGGTGAGCTAGGTGTCTTGGTGCCAGTAGGGTTGTTCAGCCCTTTGACAATGGGATTGTTTATTCCTGCCACAATGGACCCATCTGTTTCTGTGCCAGTAGGGCCAACCATCCATGTACCAGTGAGTGGTCCATTTATGAGATCTCTCTATGTAATGTTGTACACACAGGCCTAACACATGGAAACTTGCAAAGATGAGTAAACGCTGTCCCATTTTGGCCTCTCAATTAAGGCCTTTGAATGTCTTCTGTCCCCTCTGTACTCACTTAAACTTGCAAGAGCTTGGAGATCTTGAAGGCAGGGAAGCCCTGGCCCTCTGCCCAGGTGACAGGAACCATCTCCTCTGTTGCAGGACCGACAGCTCCTTCAGCTTCATGGCATTCTTCTTCACCTTCATGGCCCAGCTGGTCATCAGCATCATCCAAGCCGTGGGCATCCCAGGCTGGGGTGTCTGGTAAGAACCTGCGGTGTCTGGACTGACCCAGGGCTGGCATGGTTGGCACCTGGGGGTGTGTCCTTTGCTTACTTCTGTGTGCTAAGCTGCCTAGCCTGTGGGGACACCGTGAGTTATTGCAAGTGTGAGAGGATTCAGGACAGTTTAGTAGACATGGCCATAGCATGAGATGGGAAGGAGAACCTTGCAGTGGTTTTTAGGGGTGCTGAGGGGCCTCAAGCATCATAGGAGAACCTGAAAGAAGGAACCCTTATGTCTCAGGAGCTTGTTTCCTGAGCCAAGAGTTCTTCCTGAACGAGTGACACAGGCCCACTCATAAAAGGATCAGTAAGATGGTCCCTTTGCATCCAATGATATGGTCTCTCCCTGTGACTATGGGATAGTCCCTTATTATAGTGGGGTGGCTCCTGGATACCCCTCACCATGCCAGGCAGCCCCACAGCTGGCCTATTTCTGCAGCGGCTGGATCGCCACCATCTCCTTCTTCGGAACGAACATTGGCTCAGCGGTGGTGATGCTCATTCCCACTGTCATGTTCACGGTCATGGCTGTCTTTTCCTTCATCGCCCTCAGCATGGTATGTGTCACTTCAAGGGTGAGAGGGTGGTGTTGAGAAGGGACTATAATCTGTAACAGCCCTTCTTCCAGGTTACAGGAGGACCCAGAGGTCTCTAAGGGACTCACTCTGGAATGGCTTGGTGGACTTTTCTCCTAGTGCACAGGGCATGGTGGGAGGGAGAACTGGCTTTTACAATGACTTATTTCTGACTCCCACACCTTTCCTGGATGCGCTGCTTCTTCCCTTTGATTAACGCTTCTTTGTGCCCTTCTTCTACAGGTTCATAAATTCTATCGGGGAAGTGGGGGGAGTTTCAGCAAAGCTCAGGAGGAGTGGACCACAGGGGCATGGAAGAACCCACACGTGCAGCAGGCGGCTGAGTCGGAGA